AGATTTCATGCACCGATTATTCTTCCCATCTGCTTTTCGTTGTTGGTGATTTTCCACACACCCCATGTGCCTGTGTAGCCGCATTACTGTATTATTTTGGTACAGCAGGACGATTATGGTGGTTGGTACTGTGCTGTACTTGGAATCAACAAACCACCAGATCTGGAAATTTGGTTAGTTTGCAGTTTACTCGCCTATAATTATAGTTATTTATACTATTAATAATCAACAGTTGAAAATTTTTTAAGGAGAAATATCGTGCACAAATTCAAATGATCGCATGGGCTTCGCCATTGGGTTTGGTGCTATTCGCTCTTATGGCAAGAAGCACCGGTGCTGACCCATTGAGCGGAATCTGTGTCGTAGGAGCTGCTAGCAAAGTTAGTACGACTAAGAGAATGTTATACAAATTTGCATAAAGTAATGTTCCCAACTTTTAGGTGCTTGATGGTGTATTCAATCTTTTCCGAGATCTAGTCTTCGTCATTGCTTGCTGCATACCCTTACTAGTCGGATTCCGAGTAATGCTCTCAACACCACAGGCTAACTTCGGCACGGGCCTGGAGGGAGCACTCTATCCAGCCATGGCATTATTCTATATGTAAGTTATAGCAAATGGTAAACATCACAACTTTTTTGGGATTATTATTGATTTCATTGATTTGCTTTTGTTTCTTGACAGATGCACTGTTCAGGCTTGCTTTTGTTAATGATGCATGGCAGCCTACTTTGCATTGGACGCATAGTTGGAATGTTGTATCTGCAATGAAGATACTAATTGATCCCATTTTGGGAGTACTAGCGGCATCGGCTTGTCTGTTGCATATCATAGTAAACCTATGCCGTGCAATCAGGTATGTTCACATAATCAATAGTCGAGTTTTGATATCATTTTCAAAACCTTTTTGTTTCCTCAAGATAGACCTTATATGAATCTCACAGTCTTCTATTCTTCCATAATATTGAGTTATATGATTTTCTGGTTTAATACAAGATTTTCAAGAATAGTAAATTAACAGTGAATTATTACTATTTGAAGGAGGGCTCCTTGCTTCACAAGGCAGTAATCCTGATTTTTTCGTGCATTATAAATTTAGCTAAAATAGAATTCGTTTAAACGGAATGTGTGATGCGCAAGAATGAGCTCATTCAAAATCTTTTTTTGAGAATTTTAGAGCTTGTGTTTTCAATAACATCACCTATCGTTTGACATGTTGCTTACAATTGTTATGCCAACCTCACCAGTAGGGCCTTAGTAGATCGCATTAATTACAGTGGAACAATAGCACAGAGTAGCCTGAAAAATGCTCTAATTAGGTTATTTGACATGCCGCTTACGAATATCATTTCTAATCCTTACGGCAGAAGTCTTTTTTTTAGTCTTTTTTTTTCCGTTTTTCCTTTCTTTACCTACTTTTATCTCATAATTCGGTAGTAAAATGTTGAGTGATTATCATCTTCCTACTCAGAACGTCAGTTAATTTTATTAATCCACTTTTTCTTGCCAAGTCATAGCTTTGACTCCCTTATCTGTAAACTTTAAAGCTCTGTTCTGCGAAACGGATATGATATTTGAATCAGCACGTTGAATAACCCTACCTGGTAAAGTTTCAGAAAAAACACAATATTTCGGTATTTGAAAAAAGAGCTGTTGCAGAAAATGCTTTTTTTGTGCATTAGACACTCCGTTTTAGGGATAACTCGATTAAATTGATTTCTTCTGCTCGCTCTGTTTGCTAGATAAAAAATTCGCTAAAGCCATCTTACCTAAAATGTAATTATTTGAGGGCTTCACTGTCAACTTTCGAGCAGATGTACTTAAAATCTAACTTTCATGATTAACTTATTAATCTCCACGAACTTCAGATCTCCTGTGGCCGATAAGCACGGCTATCAGCCGGCAGTTCCACGTATCCCGCAACCGGCTATCCCAGTCAGTGTTCGTTCCCATAACACCTATGCCACAACTACACAACGATTACCAATCTGCTAGTGATCTCGTCCAGTTCACTCATTGTACTGCAATTTATTGATTTATTGACTTGCTAGTTAATTGATTATTCATAATTATGGCTTTGACATGACATGTGTACATAGTATTCGAGTAAAATATGTATGTGTTTTTATGCTCGTGAAAGAAGGTGCTTTTATTGCTTCATTGACGTATGCAGAGTTCTTACCAATGACGTCACTTTGGATCAATAAAATTTTTGTGATTTTTGTAATCAGATTTTTGTTGCTTTCTAGAAGTAATTTGAGTTAAATAATTAGAAATACAATAAAATAGTTTTTGAAAAATGTGCAAAATGTTTGAAAAGAGGCTAGAAGGGTTACCTTATCATATCCATTTCCTGCAATAACTTCTATTTAATTTGTTTCGTTCATCGGCAAAACAGTTTTCTTGAGATTCAGTTGGATGAATAAGTACTTTGTCATTTTTTTCCACTATCTCTACCCTGAGTGTCCTAAAAAGTACTGTTTTGGTCTTGATGACTTTTTATTTTGCGAATTCTCTAAGTAGTTTTACGTGTCGTGTACATCGAACAAGAGAAAAGCTGAGGATTGCAAAACAAAAATTCTGTCCTATAAAGGTCGTTGTCTGTTCGCCTGACTAAATGATGACAAGTCTACTTTGAGATGTCCTACAACGAAACTACAATAAGCATGTATCGATGCCTTTGCCGCATCTACCGTAGTCTCACAGTAAACCTTTATTGTGGAGAAAATATGCATGAAAGCTTGACATGGCAAATATTTTCATTGGCGAGTAAAAACACTGAATAAGAGTAATGCAGCAAAGCGCAACGTATTGTCGTTTATGCACTTATTAAAGGCGTTGTGAGGGATTCCTTTAAATGAACTTTGTACTAAGTGCATTTACTGTCAAGCTCAGTGCATTGTTTTAGGCATAGATTCATCCAAAAGTGGTGTCGAGTTCCAGTTTCAATGAATTCTCGGCAACAACTTCCTTAGAATTTTCATTGACTGAATTTCTCTCCAGAATCTTAATACTTCTCTATAAAATGCAGTGTCAGTTCTTTATTTCGCACGTAGTAAAGAGGTTTTAGGTTTGACTGCGTATCCGTTGTGAAAATTGAGTATCATTTAGCGATCTTTGGACTCATGTTCTGTTATTCAAAGATTTCACGAAGTCCATTATGGATTTCTCTTCGGTTCAGTTCCTTAGTGTAAGAAATGGTTCAAAATCCACTACTTCACTTTTATTTCTTCTTTTAACAGTTCTAACGGTTCTGTTCTTTTACTCTGTAATTATAAGTATTTGCTTTTTTGCCGCTTTGAAACTTCAAGTTTCTGAGGACATTCACATTTCCTTTTTGCCAGCTCATATCATCCTTTGAAGAATAATCTGGGATAAGTTGAGCCTACACTCGTTATCCTGCCTCATATATTGCTTTCCACAGCTCTAGCCATTTGGTCGCTCTGTCCTATATCTAGACGAAAAACGAAAACTAGTCCTCACGTATCTCCTTTTCATTGTCGAGATATTGAAACAACAAGCGGAACTACTTTATTAATTATCAATTTCAAGTTGAAACACCGTTAGGGAGTGGCAGAAACTGCCGAAATTCGGGACGTAGAAGAGGGTGATTAAGGGGTTTTGTTAAAGATTTATCGCTTGAGGAGTGCATTTCGAGCCATAATGAGATAATTGTTAGGCGAACTTAGATCGTCATAGTGTCGTCACGATCTTTTCTACATAAAACCTAGAATAGCCGTATTAGTGCAGTGTGTAATAAAGGCTCCGCCCCTTTTGCAAGGGCCGCATACCATAAGCTGTCGAATTTTTGGGCCATCTAGTGTTATCACGCGACCATCAAATCCAACTTCGGCACGTTCTTTTTTCATATTTACGCTTCCTAAAGGAGTTGGCATAGAATTAAGCATTAATCAATATCAATTAGTACATAGGAAAAACCAAATTCACCAAGATATTCGAATTTGTCATTCTTGATAACGCAAGGAGCGACATAACTCATATGAACGGGTGCAAAATCTTTATCTTCGTAACGCGAGGCCTTTAATGGAATGGGATTACGGTCCACCTTAAACTCTGCGGCTGCACAAACCTGCTCATACGGTAACCAACAGTACTCGAATCCTGCTGCTGTTGCTGGTATTTC